CTATATTTCATAATAAGAAATTGAAAATTATATGCAGATACTGAGTATTAGAGTATAAGTAGGTGCCTATAGACCTTTGGTTTCCGATTACTCCTCTTATAAATTGGTCAAGAGGCGCTCCTGTCGTGATACAGCAGGTAATAAAATATATAGGCACTCACCTGGTCAAACCCCAGAAGAAATTTTGGAGGTTTATGGGRACGGTCAGTTCGTTGGCCGTGGTGAAATCATTCCAATTCAACGGATTGTTGTCCATGATTGCGTATAAAAATAATGTAATAATATTAACGAAGACAGCAACAACTATGAAATGATTGTGGATAATATGATTATGATGACGACGATGATGATGATGATGATGATGATGATTGTGAAAACGTGATCTATGAGTGTACGCGATCGAGATCGGTCTTCGACTCCGTCGTCGTCGTCGTCTCCGTCTCCGTCTTCGTCTTCGTACTCGAGGTCCTAGCCGTCTCCGTCGTCGGCTTCGCTGTGATGTGCTGCTGATAGTCTCGGCGGCGGTGGTGTGCCGTTCGCGCATCGCCCGCCTGCCAATTCAATGTGCCACGGGTACGTGGACCGACGGGATGGCAAGATGACGACAACGCATCGTTGGACCGCGCGTCGCAAAGACGGGCGGTGGTCACACGTGCTGGTATCGTGCCGCTATGGATCAAAATAAGACGATAAAAATAAGGTAACCCGAGTGTTTACACACGGTATTACGGTTGTGGTGCCTCTGTACGTGTGCGGATCGCATACAAAAATGCCGTGTTCAATATTAAATTATACTATTTTATCATCGTAACGTATAGAAAATATCTCAACCGGAGCGCGGTGGGGCGATCGATAACCGTACGGCGACGACGACTGGAACCACGGCCGTTGCGTTGCGTTTTGCGCGGACGGTGGCGTCGCGACGAGGAGTCGCCGAMAACGGCGACGTCGACGACGCCAGCGCCGGCGCGCTCGCACCCTTCCGTTCCCACCCTGATCTATGCAATGCACTGCCGTTAACAACTACCCTCACCAACACCGGTGCCACCGCGAGGGATTAAAAAATATATCATTTTGTTACAGTCCCCCCCTCTTCCTTCTACCCTGAAAACTCCTATGTGATGTATATAAAACGGACTTAAATAGCAGGYGATTTCGACGACACTTCCGGTCGGCGTGTGGTTAATCATTTTTTCACGCCGACTATACAGCGAGGTATCACGAAATGTAATCTGATATACCTACCTAGCGTATACTTTTACTCGGAGTTTCTTGCCGATCGTAATATTACGAAGTACAAAAAAAGCGTCAAAAATCGCGTCTAAATAAGGAATTTCCAATGTCAAACTTAATATGAGGGTTTCACACTTTTGTTTTYTGCAGCAAAATATACCTATTTATTTATGTAATCCTTCAAATCAGAATTTTTATATAAACAAATTTAAATCTTCTTGTTAACCATTGAGATTGTGAAACACAAGATTTTTTTCTTTTTAAGAATGATAAATTAAAAATGTAGCTCAAAAGATCCAAAGTGAACTTAGCAACCAAATAAAATCTGTTTTAAAAACTACTGTCCATGTTGAACTTATAAGTTGAAACGCGTATAGGTATAATTTCCTTTAACAACTTGTAACGTTGAAACTCTTTAAATCGCTTAGTTATACAGCTCGATTGTATAGGTAGACAGGAATATATTTTATAGGGTGAGAGGGGTACCATYRCCCTGAGTAGCGCATCATTTATGGAATTTAGAGACGGGGGAATTTTTTTCTTAACCATATCATCAAGTGTTTATTTATCAATTAAAAAATTAAAATATTTTAAGATTTTATATAATATATCTT